CATTACCTTTTATGGGAAGATCACCTCCACAGGTATTTAATCAGGTGCATCACAAAGCACTACAATTGTTTGTGTATGTCCATCTCAAGCATGTTCTCAAGCTACTTCTACAGCAGTCAAATTCAAAGATCTGACGTGAGATTTCAAATTTTGAAAATTCAAAAGGTTCTTCCAATTTTTCTGATTTTTGGAACATTGGCGGCAGCTATATGCATCAAAGTCACTTGGCCTTTGTGCCGAAGTTTGTCAAAAACACCTATGATGAAGGCGAGCATTAGGTGATTCTGAAGATAGTTCAATAGGTCTTCACCGCAATAGTCCGCTAGAACGCAACCATGTGAAGGACTCGCACGATAAGGCGAGGGATTGAAGAGGGGGAAACATAAGAACTTGAAAGACAGGCGGACAACCTAGGGAAGCGGGACGATGCGCATTTTGTAACGGAAAGTATGCCCCAACTGCGCGACAGGGCTGTACCCGCGGCTCGCGTTTCTGCGATCCCATCAACTGGCTTCACCTCATCGTCTGGCTATATATGTTTAACAGAGAGCGTTAGTGTTGAAGAGGGCAGCATCGATTAGGGTCGCATTAATACCTAATCAGTGCCTGCTGTCTATTCAGCGTTGAGAAATATGTCATGTGTGAGTGTGAACACTTTGTCACGTAAAGTACCATCAGCGAAGTATAATCGGAGTTCCTACGAGCTCTGATTCGTGCTAATGGAAAATGTATCTAATGAACTTGCAGCTGCTTGGTGCTACGAAGCCAAGTACACATTTGTGCACATTCGTTGTGCACCAATATTAACAGCGTTCTCTGTCCCAAAATATTACCTATTGATATAGTGTTATTTCTTATCATATTTATGGAGCACTCTGTGCTTCCAACAAGGCGTCATATCCACTAACCCATTACTTTGTGCCCACATTCGCCAAACGCAAAGTCACCAATGAATAAAATTATTTTGCCGTTCACAATTCGGTGCACTTTTCTCACTTTGACGATCGCTGCTTTTAGAGTGCACCATCACAAACGAAATATCACAAAAGAATGCATGCAATCTGTGCCCACTTTTTCTTTAAATATTGCAGCTTGGATTCCGTCAAATTTCAGAGAACACATCCTCAATCCACTATGAGGGTGAGGTTACTTGTTATACTGCTGGTCGTTGTTATCGTCGGTGAGGGTATCCCCACTGGGCACTCTATTGCTGAAGTCGATGGAGTTCACCATCTACTCTACCAAGGCGACATTGTATTGACAGCGTACGTGAGAATTTCAGTGCGAACCATTGTTTCCTAAAATGCCATCATTGAAGTGAACAAGCGGAAACAGATGGTTACGGCCACAGACAGTGGGAATCGCGTTGTTAGACATCAGATAAAACGTCAGGCCATGGCATGGAAGGAATGGCCATCAAAACTTTGGAAACAAGGAGTGAACTACTATTTCGACTCAACCAAATATTCAGACCAGTTCTTGTGTAGGCATCACGCGCCGTCATGGCTCAACTAGAATTTCGACCAGAAATACAGTAAGCATATCATTTCAGATGACGATGTTAGCGATGCATTTAGAAAAGGAGCAAAATTATGGGAAAGTAATACCTGTATCAATTTCACGGAAAATCCTACGGGTGAGGGATAAACAAATTTTGACCTAATAGTATTAGGTTGTCTCATAATTAGTGAATCACTTTGGGCATTTTTCAATTTTAATTTTTCTTTTTCATATGAAGTGCTTGCTCATCTAAACATACACCTCTGTTATCTACAAACTATTGCCTATACATGGAAATTTAGTCGCTGTCTTTTCTCTAGAATTCCAGGAGCTATTGATCGAAGAAAGATCGGAAGTCGGGTTTGAGGTCATGTCACTTAGCGTAAAATTTCTTCCTGAAGAAGAGCGCAACAACCCAGACTAGGTCGTCTTTCTGGTACCATTATACGGCTACACGGCGGACATATTCTCCGCAAGGTGGGGTCGAATGACCTCAGGAAAAAAAACCAGACTTTGTCTTGCTTTACTTTCAAATTGAACGCGTCGCCATTATGCTGTCGACGTTTGCCTTCTTCAGTGACCCTAGTATTACTGGGCGGCGGTTCCCAGCGCAAGGTCCTTTCGTGCTCCACCAACATCTCAGAAGTGTCGGACATAGAGGTTGGGCTTTTGCTGTCAGAACTCCCGAATCTTTCAAGCTAGGCTACTGCTCCTTGGATTTGCTAGCACTCCACCCAGTTCACAACACTGGTGAATATGCAGGATGATCACTGAAAGGAACTAAGGGAAATCAGAAGGAACATGATGATGTCAGATCGTGTTTGGAGCTGATTTCGGGCTCAACGCATGTGGAATACGAAATAGATATTTTCGAATCTTTACGACTCAAGGAGATGTATCACTACTGTCATCTTGACAAGCCGGAAGCGCTCTGGCAAATGACGACTAGCATGTTCAGATTACTTTCCGAGACCGTCCGATAGAGCAGTGAGATTGCCAGTTGGGGGGTGTGTGTCAGCTTCGAACAAGAAAGCCAACCTATAAATAGAGTGAACTGTAAATGCACCGTGGATTGAGGGAGCGTGCCCTCGCCTATCTGCTGGTTGATCCTCTATGTTGTTGGGCGTTTGAAAGATCCTAATCAGAAGTGATTAAGAAGGGAGCTCAAAAATAGGTTCCAGAAAAATTGAAGTATCAGCCACGGAAGGCAGCATGTGAAATGGGCTGAGTAATTGCTCAGGTAGGACAATGTGGACTACTTCGCAAAACATGTTTCACGCCTTCAAGATTTTTCTTGGAATTTTTATAGCAATAAATGTAAAGTGATTCACTAATTATGGGACAACCTATACATATAGCCATGCAATAGAGAAGTTTTTCAAGAATAAAAAGACACTAATCTTGAACAAGAAAAAACTGAATGTGTAGATCAAAGCCGATTATTTAAAACGGAGGTAAACAACCCTTCATGTCGGAATAGAGAACCATGCATGTTCCGTGTTGTCGTTATTGCAATAGTGTGCAGTGTTTAAAATCGTTAGGACGAAAACCTTATTCTTTCAGCTAAAGACCGAATAAAGGTGTATCCGGGACAAGGATGTCATTCCTCTGTCGGCAGAGACGGCGGCGAGCAGTTGATGTCGATGGGATATGGTTGCACATATACATACATTACAGCTCACGAAATCGGTCACGCCCTTGGATTCGTTCATACCCTTGCGCGTCATGACCGTGACGACTTTATCAAGATCAACAAGGAAGCTATTTCGGTTAGTTCTTGACAGCCATTATTTCACCTGCTACCGTTCAAAAGGTAACAATGAGCATTTTCCCCTATTGAATTGCAAGTTCTGTATGATGTCACTGAATCGGCTATTTGCTCACTAGTCTGGGATGCTTGAGCGAAAACCTTCTCTGGTAAAGAGGTAAAGAGTAGTTCTCACTAGGGTCGACCGTCTCTTCGAACTGAACGAACGATTGGGTCGTATTTGATCGTAGAGTGGGGATAGCGTAGTAAACCCGAGGTTGCAGACACGGGGCCCACTAGGGAATCCGTAGCCACTTGTAGGTGAATTGGAAAGGATACGCAGAAAGAGAACATGAGATTGTACAAAAATAAATAAAAGTTGTTTAATTTGAGACTGACTGCTTCGTATTAGATTGACCCACAGATTCGTGCCGCTTTTTTGACCTCAAGACAGAACTGCATTTAGCGACTTCTGAATATGACCAACTAGGCTTCCAAGAGCTTAGTTCGCGAAGTCACCTATATGCCCACACTAGTTGCTTTTTTCGAATTCAAAATTGAAAAAGGAAGAGAATCGTGTTTCTCGCGCTTCGATTTATGAGCTTCTAGTGAGTCACAGGTTGGTCGAAGTCAATAGTGACATTCGGTTTGCGATACATCTTCATGTTGTCGGGCGGAAGTGGTGTAGTGACAAGTGGCGCGCTTACCACGCGAGCGGTCCGGGGATCAAATCCTGGGTCGTGAGTCGCCCGGGCCAACCAAGCCTTCCATCCCTCCGGGGTCGGTTAATTGGTACCAGACTTGTCTGGGAGGATAAAAACACTGACTTGTACATCGGCTGGCCCCCGCAAGTCATTGTATAGGCCACATCGCATTCAAACGCCACTGCGAATGTACAAATGGAAGTAGAATGCGTGCCGCATCCCAAAAAGGGATTGATCAACGGCAAATGCTTTATCCTTTATCCTTTTTACACTCAGTGATTCATCAAGAAAACCAGAAATGTGAGAAGAATTCCAACCTATAAGAGCAGCTAGCAAAGCCAATTAGGGTAGCCGCTTGTTTCCCCCCCCCCCCCCCTTGTTTGCTTGTGACTGCTGTTTTTTCCCCAGTTCGCTTACAAAAATTCACAAGAACACTGGAACAATTAACGAAACCTCAGAACCATCACCTCTCGCCCATGTGCGCTGCAAACTACGTTACTGGGCACCGTCTCGCGATTAAGTAAGCTTTAATGGTATAAATTTTACATTGCCTCAGCAATCACGGTATAAGGTGATGAGTGTGAGTAACAGACAATAACGCGTGCTAAAATATTGCGTAATAACTTCGTATAGCATACATTATACGAAGTAAGTTGAGGGTTGCAGCTCATCTCTGATTATAAAGGCGCTGTTATAGATCCTGAGTCATGGATACCGTTTCGTGACGCAAATTGGACAGTTATTTCGCATAAACTAATTATCGGATGTTTTTAAAGGATACATTCTCTCTCAGATTTTATACATTATCCCGTTTTCAGGTGATGTAAGAATTACATCACAAGAAACGCTGTAAGAGAGCAAAGAATATATATCCACTCTTGTGTCTGTTCCGAGTAGGATACAGGCATCACACGACCGTGAAAGATACAATTATATCAATGCTTTCAGAATAATATGGAAGGCGATTTCTATAAATTGGGACCAGACGCAAATGAGAACTTTGGGTTGCCGTATGACTATGGTGACATTATGCATTATCCCGCAGACTAGTACGTTGCATGTATAGTATTTGTGTGAGCTCTCAGCTATGCATCAGGTTGTCAGAAAAGTCCTTGTGTATTCGTACTAATTTTTTCTTGAAAATTAAAAACTAAAAAATGCTCTTTCTTATTTATTACACCCCACAATTGACAATTAGATGCAACCCTCGTAATCTACGTAACACTTCCCTTCAGCGAGCAATTTTTGGTTGCCGGTCGATCCGAAATCTTAAGCTTTCGAAAGAACTCGACCAAGTCCTTTTCGAGTATTTCTGGATCATCGAACTACCGCTCTTGCAACCGCTCCGGCAATAACAGTGGCTGATGGTAGTTTGCTGGTGCATCTGCTGAACACACTAGAGGATTTAGGTCGTCTTTTAGTAGCTTGAAGGTTTTTGCTGGATCTCCTTCATATTCGTGGACGAGCATTTCGTTGCCGAAATGAAGTAAACTTTGTCATGTTTTTCGAGCACAGTGCCAGCGAGCCTCTCCATACCTATTTGTATTGTTCCACAATAGCAGTGGAATTAGTGGGCAAGAGCTTACGGTGAACGCTACCTTTGCAGCTTCACTAGCTCCGAAAGTTGTCTTGCACATCTGTTCGAGATAGAAATTCTTCGTTGTATGCGTCCGAGAGAAATTCTTCGTTGTATGCGTCCAAGCCAGTGGTGCTTCCGTGCTGTTGGTGTAACCTACGTGAAGAACACACTTCTTGTCACCTCTAACAAAGTTGCCGCAACAAATAAGAAACAGGCGGTAAGTCAAAATGTTTATGCGCAGGTTCGTCTTCTTAGTAGCCTGTGGTCGTTTTATCACGTATGCTTTCGCAGTATTCTAGTATTCTCACTTTGTTTCGGGGCAATGACGACGAATGACTATTGTGCTGATAACGCCGGAAAAGCTCGGCCGCTTAACGTGCTTTGCACAATGGATTTTTTCCATAGAGCTCCACAAGACACTTTATCTTCAGTGCAGCAGGTTCATCATTCTTGTGATATTCCTCTACTTCCTAAACCTCTGCAAGTGGATCACGTGCCGTGAAAGACAGTGGAGGTCCATCTTATTCTTTTTCAAGGGCTCAGTGTCTGG